GGAAGGAAGGTTGGGCAATCCTACTTCCGTAGTGATACTGCCTTGGAAACCCAAGGAGGGGTCGCTATGAGTCGGGGCCGACTCGACGGCAAATACCAACAACAACAACAACTGTCTCTTCTGCACCAAAGTGGTGGAATTTATCCTAAAAAAAATACTTGTTGGCAGAAAAGCATATTTTTTTCAAAAATCTATTAACCTATGAAACTACCTTTTTTTATCTATTACTGTGTTTTTTTTCTCTTGCAGCACTACTATGGATGTAGGAGCAGTAGGAGCTCTTAGACGAATTAAAAACGCTATTGGTGTGGCTCGAAAAGTGCTGGAGTATACAACACACACACTTTTAGCGGGAGAGTTAGGTATATTCTAACTATGATATAATGATGCTTTTTCTAGCATTTTTCTCAATTATCTTCACTATGAAAATAAGTTTCCACGTAAAATAGTAGATAAAAGGAGACCTGACTTCAGCTTACTATAACAGTAAGCTGTTTTACTTAATATCTATTTACCTTTAGATAACTAGTTTAACTTCTAAATCTCACTTTCTTTATCATTAAAATAGGATTTTATTTTAATAGTTCTTTATCCATAGATGAGTAATTGCTAGACCAAAACCTTATTCAGCATTGTCTTCCTGTTACACATTATAGGTGTAGGACCCAAGAAGCATTGCTAACCAAAAAGATGGAAATTGAAGGAGTTTTGCCATGATGGTGAATTGCTTCCAATTATATACCAAAAGTCATACAGTGACCTATAGACAAAACTATTTTTAATGATTTGTTAGTTAACAACTTGAATAGGCTTCTTTCAAGTTTGTTTAAAGTACAAAATTGGAAATGACTTGACAAGCAAAAGGACTTGTTACTCATTCATTGGAATCTAGTTGTCCTTTTGTTTGGCGTCTCAATGCTTTTACATCCCAGGGCACTGCACCTGTGTTAGAGCAGTAAGATTTTGTGTTGATGAAGAGATGTGCCTTTTGTGAAGTGGAAGAAGATACTGTGGAAGAAAAGCAGAAAAGGAGAACTGTCATAACACACAACCCAAGAGTCACAGCACATAAGTTTTAGAAAAGAGTACATAGCAATATTGATCTGGAAATTGCTTCCCTTATAACTTTTATTGTCTAAATACTATTTTGAAAGTCTTCATGTACCATCATGGGTAATTGTACCCCAGTTAAGTGACAGCTAGGAGCTCTAGTGGCATAGTGCCTAAGACATTTGACTGCTAACCAAAAGACTGGCGGTCAAACCCACCAGCCACTCCTCAGAAGGAAGGTTGGACAATCTACTTCCATAGTGATACCGCCTCGGAAACCCAAGGGTCGCTGTGAGTCAATTTGACTCGACGGCAGTGTGTTTGGTTTTTTTTTTCCCCCAGTTAAGTGACAGCTGGAATGCTGGTGGTGCAGTGGTTAAAAGAGCTTAGCTGCTAACTGAAAGGTCAGTGATTCAAACCCACCAGCCACTCTTCAGAAGAAAGATGTGGCAGTTTGCTTCCTTCCATAGAGATTTAAAGCCTTGGCAACCTTATGGGGCAGTTCTGCTGTGTCCTGTAGGGTCACTATGGGTTGGAGTAGACTTGACAGCAGTGGGTTTGGTTTGATTTGAGTGTCAGCTAACCTAGAGTACTTCCTGTACATACACTTTATTTAAAAAGAAATACTTGATTGATTTACATTTTTCTTCTCAATCTCCAGCCACTAAGTTTGCTGAAAGTATGGGATTTGCCAGTGAAGATTTATCTACCAATACTTCTCGAGCTCTTCATTCAGATTGGCGTGCTCAGAATTGCCAGCCAAATTATTGGAGGGTATGTGTAGACATTTAATTTTTTAAAGTGAATCCTTTGAATATATTAATTGATGTCCCTTCTGCTTGTTGTTGCCCACCTGCTGCCTGGGGTGCTGGTTAGCATCCTGGCAGCACATTAGAACGAGCAGTTTAAGTTGGGTCTCTGGGCCTGGGTATTCTTGAAAAGCTCTCTAGCTGACTTTAACACACAAACAAGTGACAGATCTACTGGTTTCTGGCAAGTTTTTCAACTAAAGTTCTCCTGTGGGGCGAGGGACCTGCCTACATCGGACCTGCTCTGCTTGTAGCAAAAGGCTCCAGGTCTAAAAGAAATCAAACTTCGAAAACCATTAGTCTTATTTCTTAGAACTTATCTATATCAGCTGTACCCAATATCTTGCCCTTATTTCACTTGAGAATTTATAGGTCTAATATGCTATTAGTAGGAGCTCTGGTAACATAGTGCTTAAGGCACTTGACTGCTAACCAGAAGGCTGGCAGTTCAAACCCACCAGCCACTCCTCGGAAGGAAGGTTGGGCAATCTACTTCCATAGTGATACTGCCTCGGAAACCCAAGGAGGGGTTGCTATGAGTCGGGTCCGACACGTTGGCACATAACAACAACGACATGCTATTAGTGGGATAACTGATCCTAGAAACAATGGGACATTTATAATAAATTAGTTTTCCTTTATCTTCCAGAGTCCTTCTCTAAGGTGTCTTGGTCGCTCATCTGTTTTCTCCATAAACCCTAAATAGTTTTGAATAACCAAGAAGTCTGTGGGATTAACACTTGAAACAGGCAACTCATAAAACTAGGTTTGAGGGGGCACCTGGGGCTCAAATCTTAAGGCATCGGTCTTAGGTTTCTTGCCTCATACCAATCTACATACATATATATGAATTTGTGGGTTTGGGTTATTAAGCTTTTAAGATGTATAAGCTAATCTTAGAATATCACTTAGAAAAAGTTCATATAAGCCTATCTTTGTTGTGTGGGAGGAATGGTTTTAAAACAGATTTTGCTTTAAATGTAAGACCTCTACTTTGGCCAGTGAATACATTCTGAAATTTGAAGGTCAGGTTGTATATGAGGATTCACTGCTAACTTAAATCTTCATTTATATCTGTTATTGTTCGGAGAATTTTAGACACTGAGAGAAAAAAAAATCAGGAATCTAATCTAGAAGTTAAAGGTGTCTAACCCATATTTAATGTAATTCTAAGGCCAATATAAGTATTAATAAAATAACATCCATCTCTTCACATGAAAAACATAACTATGGTTTAATTTTTATCTTTCATTTACCTTATATCTTTTGGTTTCTTGCTAGTGTTTGGTGATTGTATTTAAGTACTTGCCCACTTTTTAAAACACTGTTTTTTAAAAAATAAACCTTAAATCTTGTTTACAGAATGTTATACCAGATGCTTCAAAATACTGTGGACCCTACAAACCCAAGCCACATAGTATCTTAAAACAAGATGATCCTACCTATAAAGAAACAGGAGATAATTACGGTCATGATACTATTGGTAATTTGACTTTTATACAGTTCTCATGGTTAAAGTTTAGCCATTTGTATTTGCCTTCATACACCAAACCAAAACAAACCAAACTCATTGCTGTCAAGTGAATCCTACTCATAGTGACCCTATAGGACAGTTGAGTTTCCCCATAGGATTTCCAAGGTGGTAAATCTTTATGGAAGCAGAAAGCCACATCTTTCTCATGCAGCTCTTAATTTCTTCATTCCCATTTCTTGTGCCAAAATTTGATCCTGATTGTTTTAACGCCTAAGTATTACTATATACAAAAAACTCCCTGCTGTTGAGTCAGATCTGACTCATAGAGACCCCTCCTGGGGTTTCCAAGGCGGTATCACTATGGAAGTCGATTGCCTAATCTCCCCTCCAAGGAGTGGCTGGTGGGTTTATGCCACCAGAGCTCCCATGACTATGTTGTTGTTGTTAAGTGCCGTCGAGTCGTTTCCGACTCATAGCGACCCCATGCACAGCAGAACGAAACACTGCCCGATCCCGCAC